CCAAATCAAAACGAATCAAAACATTTCGAGAGTCCAGGAGACCAAGGTGAACGTTACCTTTGAATCCGATGGAGTCAAAAACCTTACGAATAATTGCCATCGACGGTCTGCCGCGAGAAAAGGTTCCAACCAGTGCGAATCGATGTCTAGCAGAAAGAATATCCACCTCTTCCTCTGAAAATACCATCGCAGCCATTCCCTTAAATCGAGATGGACTTTTGAGCGGAATGGAAGTCACTGGTGGCCCTGCAACAATGGAAGCAAAGGATTTTTCGACCGCCACAGACGGCGGCGCGGCATTCTTCGGATCAGTCAAACTCATCCCTTCATATATATATATATATATATATATATATATATATATATATATATATATATATATATATATATATATATAGGTTCATGTGAGAACTTAATCTTAGGAGAGTAAAAAAGAATAGATGTGAGCCATTGGATTAACTCCTAATTGATCGTGACATTAACTATCATTGCAGCCCCTTTTAGTCATTTGCAACTCCTACCATGATAACTTCCATACTCGTGTGATTGTAATCCACTAATAATTTGGAAAGATCATTTATTACTTTAGTGGATTCACCATACCGTATTATTTTCAATTTTTTTATTCTACACGTATTAATATTTTATATTTCCCTTGTAATTTAATACTTCTCGTATTGTATGTTTTGATCAACTCAATTTCTTTCAAGGCTGCTACTATTTTATCATATCCGTAACTCTTTTTTTTTTTTGCAAGAATTCCTTAACTTTATTATGCACTTAATATTGCATTATTCTAATTGTGCAGTTTTGATATATAATTTCACGATTGCCTGATGCAAAATGTACATAAAAAGTGCACTTCTCCAAATTAAAAATTCCATGCACCAAATGTCACATTTATTACATGAAACACATAAAATACATAACGATCATCAGTTGCATCATAATCATTTAGAAGAGCATCATGTTAAATCGGTGACTATAAATGCATTTTAAATTTGAAATTCTAATTGAACTAACATAATAAAAAAATCGGTTTATTTATTGCACTCTCAAGTCTCAATGTGAGTATATTGCATTTTATATAAAAACGATGCACTTATACTTTGTATTAATAAAAATTCAAACAAAAGTGAATAATCAATATTATATGTTTATTAATGGTGGGGACATGCCATATAAAAATAACATCAACATTAATGGATTTAAAAGTTGTGGTTGCGTAATGACAGGAACGTGCTAAATATATAGAGTAATATACGTAGTACATGGTGATGAATTGTAGAGTTACTAATAAGCCCTTTCTAATTGATTACACCCGGACTCAATTTTAAATGACAATAATAGAGTGTCACTAATGAGGGAAAGGCGATAAAGTACAGAGACGGAAAAACGAAGGCGGTTCTTTTTTAAATTTAATCTGGGCCGTATACTATTATTCATTTAAATCTAACATAGCAGATAGGTTTGGTTCGTTTTTGTTTCTACGGACGTACCGGACATGAAGTTTGATTGTAGTGTTGACCTTTGGTGTTGGAGTTTTGAACCTTGAAGTTTGAAGTGGCTCAAAACTAGCTCTTGAAAAAGATAGATGGAAAGGTGTACACTTTCAAGCAAAGGTGGAAAGTGGGTTTCTTTAACTTTCCCACACCTAAACTCCTTGGGAAGTTTGAAACCTATAAATATGAACCACTCATCACTTAATATTAAAAGGTGAAGGAGAATAGGGGAGCTCTCGCGCACACAAGAATTCCGGCTTCTAGTTCAGAACCGAAAATTCGCACCCCCCTGTGCGGGCGACCTGTGGACACGATAGTCGTAAAATTTAGCGGGTCTCAAAAGACAATTTTGCCCCTCTTTTCTTTCCTTTTTTTTTAAAACTTTCTTTCTCGATACTGGACTGGACTGGTGGGTTCTCGAGGTTAGCTTACCCTTTTTATTAATTTATGGGTAAGTCGCCAAACGGTTGGGCGACTTATAAGTCGCCAAACAGTTGGGCGACTTACCCCGAGCAGGGTTAAGCCGACTTTTAACCCAACCCTATTTTCGTAAATACTTAATTAATTACCATTAATACGGAAAAAAACTCGAAGTTTGGATTGGCTCAAAACTAGCTCTTGAAAAAGATAGATGGAAAGGTGTACACTTTCAAGCAAAGGTGGAAAGTGGGTTTCTTTAACTTTCTCACACCTAAACTCCTTGGGAAGTTTGAAGCCTATAAATATGAACCACTCATCACTTAATATTAAAAGGTGAAGGAGAATAGGGGAGCTCTCGCGCACACAAGAATTCCGGCTTCTAGTTCAGAACCGAAAATTCGCACCCCCCCTGCGCGGGCGACCTGCGGACACGATAGTCGTAAAATTTAGCGGGTCTCAAAAGACAATTTTGCCCCTCTTTTCTTTCCTTTTTTTTAAAAAAACTTTTTTTCTCGATACTGGACTGGTGGGTTCTCGAGGTTAGCTTAACCCTTTTTTTATTAATTTATGGGTAAGCCGCCAAACGGTTGGACGACTTATAAGTCGCCAAACAGTTGGGCGACTTATAAGTCGCCAAACGGTTGGGCGACTTACCCCGAGCAGGGTTAAGCCCAACAGTATGTCCGTAAATACTTTTAACCCAACCCTATTTTCGTAAATACTTAATTAATTAGCATTAATACGGAAAAAAATGTTTACTCCTATTTCGGGAATTTTCCCATTTGTAAATAAGAACTTTTAATTTCACCTTTCAAATTTAAAATCAATTTCTAGAATCAACTAGCTCAATTTTTTAAATTATTTTAAAATAATTACTAAAAAGACCCCATTTGAATTTTCAATCTTTACTAAAAAGAGGTCATATACTATCCTCCGTCTCTTTTTAATCGCAACATGTAGAATTTTACACTATTCACATGTTCTACTTTGACTACATTTTACGTTATTATTTTATAAAAATTATTTTTAAAATAAATATTGTCCAATTAATCTCATTACAAGTTTTCAAAATCTGATTTTTATTTTTTTTACTAATAGAGATTAAGATATAATTACGATCAAAGACGTGTGTTGGCAAGTGTGAAATGTTGACCGTTGCAACTAAAAAAGAATGGAGAAAGTATGTGCTAACCATGATTGAAGAAAACAAAAGTTTGAGATGATAAATTCTCATTTTAAAAAATTCTCTCCAAAAAAATAAGTTCATGATATTACTTTCACGATTTTCAATGCCAATGTTTAGCCGTTAATATTTCAAAATATATATATATATATATATATATATATATATATATATATGTGTGTGTGTGTGTGTGTGTGTGTGTGTGTGTGTGTGTGTGTTTGTGTGTGTACTATTAAATAAAGTATTCAAAATAACTTGGGAGAAATAAAGTACTCTTTCCATCCCACGTACTAACAGCGGGACAAGAGGGAATGACACGCAAAACAATAAAAAGTGATTTAAATGGTTGATATTGAATTAATAAAGTAAGAATGATGTAAAGTCATACAAATATTATCAAATTTGGTATGAAACAATCATAGTGAGATGGACCGAAAAGGTAAAATGGAACAATATTAGCGAGGTGGATGAAGTGTGATTTTTTAATAACTAACAATCAAATTTAACAAATTTGATTTAAAAAGTCAAAACATGGAAAAAGATGGAAGAAAGTGTGAATGGGCCTATTTTTATTTGTTTAGGTTTGAGTCTAGCTTGTTACTTGTTAAATGCCTATTTTACAACCATAATCTAGCCTATTTAACAATTTATCCTCGCCCGGAGCCTGTTTACTAATCCTATTAAGAATAAATAGTTCAAAAAATAAAGAATAAATGTGAAATCCTTTAAACACTATAAATTTTTTCTCCCAAATTAGTCTCTAAATAGTCTAATAATATGTTAGTTATGTAACATATAAATTTTTATGTACTTCGAATCTTGAAAAACTTTGAATTTCGGCGACTTTAATAACTTAACAACACATTATAAGATAGGATTCTAATTTATGATGCACATTCCATAAAAACGCTTTTATGCGTAGTTTTTTATAGTTAAATATACTATATAAATAAAAACAAAAATAATACGAATAACTATAAATATAACTAATTGTATATGAAGTTTTTACATATATATTACTACAAATAATTAGATGGACAAAAAACTTACTAGTACGACATTAAGGAAATACTACCTCCGTCCAGGGGCGGAGCCAGTATTCGATTCAGAGGGGGGCCAAGGTGAAATAAAAAATACTCCGTAATAACATATTGAATATAAATAAAATAAATTAAATGTTAAACAATGTATTTATATTTATTTAAAACATTCAAAAAACATGATTAAATGCGTTATGAATAAAATTTTAGAATGTCGCTCTTACATGTCGTAGAAATATGGAGGCTCTAAATAAGTTTGTATGATATTTCAAAAAATATTTAAATGAAAAAATAAACACTAAAAAGCCCTAAAATGAAATTTTCAGAGAAGATTAGATTTAAAACTCTTTATTTCATGTGTCAACTGAGACAATATATACTAGCACCTTCTTAAATAATTAAGAATTGTATTAAATATTAAACATTACGATGTATTTCTTTAGGTAAGTAATCACTAATTCTGGAACAAATTATTAAGTAATAAAACAAATCCTATTTTATAACAGTATTAAATGGAGATTTGGATCTAATAAGTATTGAACCGTACATATAATTCACCATACATCCTTATGGACATCCTTATGGTATACACTTTAGTATGCACTGCTTACGGATTAGGGAGTACTTGAGAGAATAAGAGGTTGGGGGGCCAAAATTATAAATCTAATACTACTAAATAAAAAATGAAAAGTTGGGAGGGGCCTTGGCCCCCCTTGCTATGGTTGTAGCTCCGTCCCTGCCTCCGTCCCGGACTCCCGGTGAACTTTGCCAAGTGCAAAGTAGGTGAGAAATAAGAATAGTAAAAACTGTGTGGTTGAGATTTGTGCATAGGAGAGAAAAATGTGCAGAACCACAAATTAGTTGCTTTTATAGGAAAGTGACAAAGTTTTTTGGTACAACTCAAAAAAGAAAGTTGGCAAATTCCAATGAGACGGAGGGGTAATAATGTCAAAGAATGGACGGACGGGGAAACTACATACTTGCCCCTAGACGGAAGACGGTTACATTGAAAACGAAGATGTCGGCTCAATTTGTGGGAATTGGACGCAAGCGCCAAGCGGTGGATTGTAGAGAATTGCCGTGGTAATTTAATTGAAATAGGATTCATTACAGATCCCCGAGCATTGAGGAAGCAAGAGGAAGAAGTACTAAAGGGAATTTCCCAATAAAATCAGATTTTGTATCATGATGCTTTATGAAAGTACAATGAATCCGACGAATAACAGTGCACGATTGTTTGCATAATTGTTTGATGCATGTTTGGCATTCAGCAGTTAGCGGTTAGCGAATTATGTTAGCGGGTTGTGAATAGCGGATTCAATTAGTGGGTTTGGCTACCGGAATAAATTGGCGGGTTGTTAGAAGATGTTTGGAATTTAGCTGTTTGGCCCTTAAATTAGTGGAAAACACCTTTTTTCAAAAGGCCAACCCAAAACTCTCCAATTAGCAGCGTTTTCATTTTAGCGTTTCCGGCCAAAAATGCTAGTGCCGAACAGCTATTTACCAAACAGCTTTTTCAACTTTTTAAAACGCTAAAAGTGATCAAACCGCCATTTTTTGGCTGAAACACCGCTTACCAAACACACCCATAAAAACGGAGACAGTAGGGTGTTGTTCTTTATCTTCCTAACGGTGTTTATTAACCTTTACTTGTATATTTTAGGATGGCTGCTTGGTGTAGAAAATGCATATACTTGAAGCCAAAACTGGAAAAAATGGTTGCGGAATATGATTCAAAGTGAGGTTTCCATCCAGTGTATATACACTATTACTTTTTTCCCTTATTTGTTTAGTGTACTACTCTCACTCGCTTCGTTCTCGCTCTTTTTTGTGCGGTGCATAGAATCAAGTTCTACTGTGTGGATGTAAACCGGGTGCCCAAGGCTTTAGTCAACCGAGGAAACATCTCTGTGAGTATATTTATATACACAAGCCTCTTTTTTATACTCGTCCTGACACAGACAGTCATTAGGAATTTTTAAAACATATCACTAACTAAAATATCGAGTTTTTTTTCGAATTAATGTTAAGTAATTAATTAATTACGGAAATAATGCTGGAAAAAAAGTATTTACCAAAATACTGCTGGCCCTTAACCACGGTCAGGGGTAAGTCGCCCAACCGTTGGGCGACTTATAAGTCGCCAAACGGTTTTGGCGACTTATAAGTCGCCCAACTGTTGGGCGACTTACCCCTGAAATATGGTTGAAGGCGAGCAGCTACTGCCAGCCAGGCACGATCGTGCCTACAAGGGTACGCACGATCGTGCCTATGTCCGAAAACAGCATTTCATCAGGTTTTTCGCCTCGGTTCAACCCAGACTCATCTGTTTGCTATAAATAAGGTCTCCCTTCTTCTGTTAAAGTATTACGAACTAGATACAACACATTATAAAACATACAACACACGTCTTCACAATGACCTACTCTCAACAATATTAAAAACACCTTATAAACACCCGTAAAAAACCTTCAAATCATAACCGGAATAACACAATACAATCATCATATATGCCATAACAAGTAATCATCTAATATTCATACTCGAACACATCAATACACCATACAATACTTAACAAGACAAAATACATCAAAACTTGTACATTGTTCGTACAACATCTACTGCATAAGAAAAACTACAATACAAAAGACAAACTACAAGTTCTCATCATCAGCTTCGTCATGGAGATGTTGCTGCTCATGTCTACGCCTACGGCGTTGTCGTGGTTGAAGAACCACTCTCTCATGTTGCGTCTGGGATGATGAAGCCGCGGCTGCACTAGACGTGGATGCCATCTCCTGAGATGGGGGCATGTGTATAAGATGTCCGTAGTCTACTCGGCCCAACACATCTGAGCACAACGAGGCAATGCCTGTCAGAGCCTGTCCATACATGTCCACATCAGGAATATCAGTCACAGTGGCAGTAGCCTGCTGATGTATGCGCTGCAAAGCTCGTGTCTAAAATATGAAACACAATTACAATTACATTCAAATACATACAAGTATTACATAAATAAAATGACTTACTTTACTAATTACTAATATACTCACCGTAAGATGCAAAGCCAAGGAGCTAGGCTGATAATGATGAGTAGGGAGTCTGAACGAAGGAGACACAAATAACCGAGTGATGCTGTAGTACCATCCCATGTAGTCTCCTGAAACAGATGGCACATATGTGGGTGTCCCAACCACAGCTAGCTCAGCTCTCCTTTCCCACATAGTCACGTATCGGACATGTCTGAGTGCCCAATCCTCTGTATGCTTCTCACGCCTATCCATCTTATGCAGCTCTACATAAGTGTCTCCCTGTGCAAATGCATCTTATGGTGATATTACTTTCCCCCAGCTCTGTAGCAAAAATCCCTGCTTATGCAGCTCAAACCCAAACTGACGCATGACTCTATCAGGCAAATGCAGCTCAACAATGTCAAAACATATCAACGGGACACGTGCTCGCCAGATGTGAGTATGCTCTCGTCCAGCTGGGGGCAACTCTGCTAACATATCAGGTCTAAACGGCATCCATGTGATCTGTTTCATAAACATACAAAATTAGTATTTATTCTACACCTATTCTAGTTAATGTTATACTACATACACCATACCTGGTCCTCAGACATCCGATCCAATGCATCCCTGCAGACACCGAGCCCAGTAGCGGATGACATGCGAGATAGACCAGCATATAACCACCTAACCATTCATGTAACAATATCAATAATATGGATATTATTAATTTATTAACATTCAACAAATACTCACATAAATACAAACGATTGAAAACATACTGACGGCGTAGAGGGTCCTCGCCCCGTACATGATGTGGTCCTAGCAGACGTGGAGGCTCATCAGGCAGTGGCTGTCCATCAATGCCATGATATCCGACTATAATGGGACGGCCAATGTGGATATACTCCCATGACCAAATCTGGAGGAGTAGCAAAAATCCCCCCAACTCTGTGCTCCCTCTCTGGCAGCCGCGACACAGCTGCTTGTATAGATAAGCCAGGGTGGCACTACCCCAGCTGAACTGTGTTGCTGCATCAAACCTCTCCAGCAAAGGCAAGTGTAGCACCTGAACCTCATTTCCGCTCTTGTCAGCGAAAATGGAGGCTCCCATCATCATCATCAATATATACGCCCGAGCATGCTGCTGGATGATCACCTCATCAGCGTCGGGAGGAAGGACCTGGAAGTGCTCCCTCAACCACGGCATCCTAAGAGATGACCCCTGAAGGTCAGTCCTAAGAACGGTTTTTCAGACTCTATCACCCGATAGAATTGGTTCCGTTTGATAGAATACAAGCTCACCATATTGATGACTTGTTCTTTGTTGTCAAACTGTTGACCGACCTCAAACTCACCATCGGGGGTAAACCTTTTCTCACCTGATCCACTCATCCACGCATCAGTAAAGCCTTCAGGGAGATCATACATTCTAGTGAAGTGGCTAGACGGGGCAGTTGATGTCACAGTATCACCATCATCTGCATCAGATTCTGTCATGTCGTCACCATTGATGTTCTCGTCTGCATCATCATCACTTCCATGCCCATCCACAAATGATGCACCGTTGTGCAAATACCCGCCATCCTCCTGTATAACCATGTCTAGTACAGGAACCTTTGACAACTTCCCTGCATTCACCCCTGCAATGACATCATGCCTAGATACAACAGCATTTGATGTCGATTGAGTAGCATTAACGTCAAAGCATTCCTCAATGTATACCTCCAGCGACGACATATCCTCCATCTGAATTATGCCCCACATATTTGTTATAGCTAGCTCATCAATGAGGGGCATAAGCATGTGCTTTCCCCCGTTCATGGGAAATTTCATTTTCAACCGCAAAGAACGACTAGGATGAATCATTGTGGCTGCATGTATTTTTTGAAGGATCTCGAGCATGCAAGCGCCACGAGAAACCATGACAAAGCTGGTTCTACCACCTTCATGGCATATTTGCCCAGCATCCTCATAATAGTTCCCTCCCCAATGACACACGATTGGGAAGCTTGAGAAATCCATATTCTAATAACAATTCATTGTCCAAAATTCATGAGTACGCATCAATATACACACTTTATACACATTCAAATTTCCTAAATAAAAAAGCTACCAAAATTGTAATATATTCAAAAGTCGAAATTGACCAACAATTCACATCTCAATATGAAACTACCCAAATTTTGATAACTACATTCAAGTCTACATTTCAATATCCAAATTTAGCTACAATCAAGTCTATCCAAATGCCCAAATGTCAAAATACACATTAAAATTTACAATCAATTTAAAATCAAATTTCAACATTTCATACATATCCACATTTCACAACAACTGAATTCACAATTAATTCATAATCCAAAAATTCGAAAATTTTAACATTCAAAACCCTAGGTTCAAAATGAGATGAAATGGAGTTTGATTTACCTAGAATCAAGAAGAAAGAGTGTTGGAGCTGGAGATGGAGGTTCACCGGAATGGGGTCGCCGGAGATGAAGGTTCGCCGGAGTTGGAGATGGCTCTCGTCCTTCGTCGGTCGTCACTCGTCGTTGGTCGCTGCAGTTTAGCTCGATGGGGGGTTTGTTTAGCGATCTGTTTCTGTGGCTGTCTGCGATGAATTTACTTAAGGGTAAGTCGTCCAACGGTTGGGCGACTTATAAGTCGCCAAACCGTTTGGCGACTTATAAGTCGCCCAACCGTTGGGCGACTTACCCCGACCATGGTTAATCCAGCAGTATTTTGGTAAATACTTTTAACTCAGCCCTAATTTCGTAATTAATTAATTAATTAATTAATTAACATTAATTAGGAAAAAACTCTAAAATATCAAATAAGTTTTGGACATTGTTTCTTATTATTAGACATTAGTAACATATAGTGGTTGACAGTAGGCATGGACCAGTTCCGGGCCAGGCCGGGTTCCGGACCGGTCCAAAGCGGGTCTTTTATTTTTGGGGAAATGCCCGGAACCGGCCCGGGATTCCACCGGGTCCGGGCGGGTTCAGTTTTTTTTTGCTTTTCTAATTAACCCCCGACCCCCCCCCCCCCCCACCCCCCAAAACACTCAGCCCAACTCGGGAAAAAAAATGAAGGCCCGAACCAGGCCCGGCCCGGCCGGTTCCTATTTTCCCTGACCCGAGCCCGCTCTTAGTAACACCCGGTTCGGGCCACCCGGACCGGTCTAGGTTCCGGTTGCCGGGCCACAAGCTGGTCGGCCCGGAACCGGTCCATCCCTAGTTGACAGCCCATGCTAATTGTTTCTTTTGACCAACGTATTCTACAGAAAATTAATCCTTTATTTGTACTTATAGATGATAAATAACATCAAAAACGAAAGCGAACGGTGTTGCTTTGTTTTATAGCCCCTCCCTCGTCCCTCCCACATAGATGAAACATGTTTCTTTTGTCCCACTAATTTGTCTCATACAATATTTGATACTCCCTCCGTCCCAGAATTAACTTCGGTTTTGACTGGGCACGGAGATTAAGAAAGTGGGAAATGTGTAGTGGAGAGTTGTGCAGAGGAGAGAGAAATGTGTAAGAATAGTTGTGAACCACAAATCCTTAGCTAAAAAGGGAAAGAAGAGATAAATTTGGGACGGACCAAAAAGGAAAGAATGAAGATAATTATGGGACGGAAGGAGTAATAATTATGTGTTTCTAATTCATCGTTACTTCATTCACATTTTTTTAATTCAATATCAATAATTCTTACAAGACGAATTGACTAACTAGTTTTAATGACTAATTTCTGCACTGACAACTTACTTCTCTTTTCCCAGAAAATGCCAACTATTCAGGTGACCCTTAAACCTGGAAATCCATAGGTCAACTCATTTATTTTCAAATACACACACAAACATACTTATTTATATATATAAAGTAAGTTAAATTTTGATGCAGCTATGGAAAGATGAAGAAATGAGAGGAGAAGTGATTGGAGGTCACAAAGCTTGGCTTGTAATTGAAGAAATCAGGGAAATGATACAAAAGTTCGCGATATGAGTGACTCTTCCTGATCAGATAATTATATAGATAGATGTTGTTTGCCACTCTTTTTTATTTTCTAGTATAGCTACATTCAAATGATTGTTTTATGTTTTAGAGTAAAACCTACAAATTAAAATCCTCACAGAATTAGGATGTGAGTTATCAATCAAATCTTGGTGGATTTCCGGCCACCGATGTGATGTTCAGACTCATATAGCATGTGATTTATGAGGCCTCTTGCAGCACTACAGCAACAACAACAAAAAACATGATGAATGAGCATGCCCAACCAAGCCTTTTTCACGAGTACCATACTTTACCTTAGATAATTGCACTGCTTAAATCGGTTGATAATGAAAAGATGTTAGTGGTGTTACTCTTTGAACTGTCCTAGCATGGGTAAGAGTGAATCATGACCAATATCAGGTCCCTACCCGGCTTACCGTTTGAATCATCACCAGCAAAGGCAGCTAATCTTGTAGAGGATGCAAGAGTTGCAAGCCTTGCTTCAGCACTAACCTGCCAATTGCCTCCCAAACACCCTTCACTAATTCCAGTAACATTTCCGAAGGCTATAGCCGGTTTATGCATAATATCAAGCTCAATTGATGCAGTATGTTCATCTTCAAAGGGAACCTGTCCAATAAGAGCAATGGTTTTTGCTACCCCACCCAATCCTCCCCTCTCACAATCCCTGCGCAATAGACTTGAAATCATACTGGCTGAATCAATATCAGTTGATAACACAGTTCTATCTGAAGTTTTAAGATCTGCAATGGTCAGATCAACAACTAACACACTGCCACCAACCAATACACTGTCACTCTGTTGGATACAACCTTCATCAATACCTCACGTAGGCCCAGTGAAGCTTTAGCAACTGTCTCTTTGAGCAAAGCAAGCTGTGAAAGAGGGCTGGCATTGGCCTCAACATTTCCTGCACCTTCCGAATTATCTGGTGGGCGTCCCGTGGGTTTCCTATCATCACCGCTCGTTTCCATAAACGTGAAATTAATGCCATAGATAGCAGAGAATGTGGGTATGTTTGACTTACTTATTAATTTGGAAGACAATTGTTTGTTCCCGGCTCCCAGACCATAAGACTTTCGATATTGTTCCATCCACATTCATTCCGCCTACCATATGTGATCCCAGTAGTTAAGTGCTGTTGAATAGTATCAAAAGGCAGGATAGATGCAATGGTTTCATAACCAGCAGCAACTACTGCTTTCTTTCTTTCATCAGTATTCAATTCTAATGAAATAAACAAAGATCATACATTTATCAGACCAGATTAGAGCATATCAGATTCAAACAAACCAGACAAACAAATTCCAATCCAAATGAAAACATTCTAACAATTTTTTGTTTTGAAAAGAATTTTGAAAAGTGGAAAAGTCACACTACTCACATTTTATTAGTCTATTTGTGAAAGTTTCCTAAAAGGGGCTGATAGCCGAAGAAGTAAGAAACTTTCAATTTTAGATGATCCAAACAAGCTAAGTAGTTTCCATTGGGCCGGCCCATCGACCTCGAAATTTCCAGACTCTTCTCCGAGCGTCGCTTCTCTTCGTCTCCGATCTTTACAAATTCGCCAGTCTTGCTCAGTAGTCACATACTGGCTAGCATTCATTTCTAAGCTCCTTTTAGAACATTGTTCATAGATAGCATTCATTTGACGCCAGAGTATGGCTAGATTGGGAGAAGGAGACAAGAGATGGATCGTGGAAGATCGCCCGGACGGTACCAACGTCCATAACTGGCACTGGGCCGAGACCGACTGTCTCGAATGGTCTCGCAGCTTCTTTAACAAGCTTTTCAGTAATCAAACCATCCTCAACGGAGAGGGTAGTCTCTACATCCGTATCAAAAAGGTCGATAAGCTTGACGGCGAGGCCTACGTCAACGTTCGGAAGGGTAAAATCATCCCCGGCTACGAACTAAACCTAGTTCTCTCGTGGGAAGGTGAAGCCAAGGATTCCGAAGGGAAGTCTTTGGCTAAGACCGATGGAACAGTCGAAATCCCTTACATTTCGGATGAGAATGCGGGCGAAGACCCTGAAATCAGAGTCGCCACTCGTGAAGATGGGCCGCTCGAGAAGAGATTGAAGGATGCTTTTATTACAACTGGAAAGCCCTTTGTACTGGAGCATGTAAGAAGCTGGGTAAATGCAATGGCCAGCGGTGGGCCCGCTAAGGATGAGCTCGAGCCAAAATCTCTTTCTAAGAAGACTGTTGCTCCGTTGGCTGCTGAGAAGGAGAAACCAGCCATTAAGGAGGTTGTGAAGGAGAAGATGACAAAGAAGAAGGAAGGTTTTAAGACGATTACAATGTCTGAGAAGTTCAATTGCAGGGCAAAGGATCTGTATGAGATATTGATGGACGAGAATAGGTGGAAAGGGTTCACACAGAGCAATGCCAGGATCAGTAAGGTCGTTGGGGGAGAGTTTAGCATATTTGATGGCTCAGTGAATGGGAGAAACTTAGAGCTGCAGGAAAGCAAATTGATTGTACAGAACTGGCGATTTGGGAGCTGGCCAGATGGTATCCTGTCCACGGTATGAATGCATAATAATCATTACATTTCACTTCTATTTATGTTCTCAATTCATGTTCTTCATTTTTATGTGTTCTTTTATTGATACTCGTATGTTTTGTATTATTAATCTTATTACCATGCACAATTTATTATGCTGAGGTGGTATGGTTCGAAGGATATTTATAAACTGCAGTTCCGTTTGAGGCTCCATTAGGTAAATAAGCATTAAAAAGCGTGTTTGGTATGCCCAAATGGGCTTGTTAGCCCGATAATTTGGCTTGACCTACAAGCTCCATATGCCTGTGGATGCTGCTGATTTATTGTATGCGAAAAACTCAGTGCACCCATGCTGCTTTAGGCAATAGTTCAAACTAAAATTGGTTACGGATATTGTTATGTAATTATATATCCCATAAGTCATTGAACACGAACAATTACAGAGTACTTTTAATTCAGCCATTTCAACCTGAGTCAACCCTATATGTAATCACCATATGGGCTCTAAGTAGCTTTTGACTTGCTGATTTGGATTTAATGAATGTTACAAGATATACTCTTTAAGAATTTAGCAACTCCGTCCATTTAAGATGAGCAAACATAACCAAAAAAGGGCCCTGAAAGGGCTGTTAATGGTTAGATGCTATCAATGGTAGCTATATTAAGTTAAACCTACTTATGGAACGGATATGGGTTGCTTGGATGGGATCTAACAGAAATTTGGTATCATTATTCTGCTCAAGGAGCGGAAAATTAAAGCACTGATCATTCCAAATGCCTCTTAAGTATTGTGAAACAGTTCTTGATGTTGTTGCTATTTGCTTAAAAGTTGCTTCACTGATAAATTAGAGGGTAGTCATTAGTCAGTAGTGTCTTGTGTATGTATTGCCCAACCTGTCTCTGTTGTTAATGATAGCTACCAACAATATGAATGAATTGGGTACTGATATGAATGTTTTTTTTGTTTTACTTGCCATCCTAAGTGGTCAAATTGGATTCCTATTCCATCCCCCCCCCCCCCCCCCCAGCATTTGGTGATAGAATTTATTTAACAATTGAGGAAAGAATATAAAGCTAGCTCAATCTACCATTATCATTGAGTACAAACAATGCAAATTTATCCACCCTAAAAGTGAAGACTATTTGGAAATGAAGACTATTTGGAGTTGTAAATTATAACTGAGTGGGAGAAAATATTTGTATAGAGAATGCCACAATAACTTAGTATGGCATCAGATTGTTTAGAGGTTGTTTTGGTGTTGTTTTTGTGCCCTTGAGTGGCTTGATGTGGGGGGTATGCTCCTGGTGGTCATGTACAGGTTTTGCAATTTATTACTACGTTTCCACCAAAGAACAAGTATGGCATCAGGATATATGAACTATGAAGTGCAGAATTGAGTTGGTGAACCAGGATATATAACTACAATTTCATTTGTGGTGTGTAATCCATATGGTGTAACCTATGGTGTCCCTCTAGCCTTTCGCCTAAAGGGATACTAATCGCTGCCTGTCTAGCACCTTATTTTGTTAGAAATGCATTGCTTGAATTTTAGTTTTTTTGTAGGTCCGTCTCACTTTTGATGAGCCTGAACCTGGAGTTACTGTGGTTAAGTTGGTCCATACTGATGTACCAGAGGAAGACAGGTCAGTAATCTGATTATTCGAATCATGTCCTGCTTAATTTGTTTATAAAAAGGTAGAAAAATCTAATTAAGTAGAGCATTTGACCTTGCTCATTTGGCTGAAATGGATGGTCCCAAACTCTTTCTTTTAAAAGCATTCAGTGGTCTCGGCCATTTCAGCCAATTTACCAAATTGGTACAGGCTAATTTTTGCTCTCAAGTGTTCGTTCTTTCTGATATATAATTATATGATGTTATTATGTACAGATATGGAAATGAAACTGTGGTGGAAAACACCGAGAGGGGATGGAGGGATCTCATTTTTCACAAGATACGAGCTGTATTTGGTTTTGGAATTTGAGTCAAGCCCCCCACTCATATATGAGTTGATGTCTTCTTCTATTGTAGAATTTCACAATTTTTTTTCTTGACTGTCGAGTGTTAACTCGAGTGGGATTGTCTTGTAGTCATTTGTTTTTCGGAATCGGCGTTGGTACTCAGTGGAAAACACTTTTGATAAAAATGAAGGATATCGATTAGCTACATGGTTACTTTTTATTTCCGGGAAGTCCAATCCGCGCTTACCTTGCTTTTGGTATTTGTTAATCGAATGATAATTACTGGGAGAACGTTTGGGAAGGGATCAAGGGTGGTTATAAAGCTAAGCACCGAAAGATACAATTATGGAACGTTTGGGAAGTCTCGCTCTCTATCTATATGTTAGATTGTGATTATAATCCAATTTACATCCTCTCATTGTGTCATTTTGGTTAATTCACTTTTCCACAAATCAACCAAACATTTTTTTATACAATAAAAATAATAGTTTATTGTATTTTAAATTTGGAAAAATGTAGATATTATTTCAATTTACATCCTCCCATCGTGTTATCCAGTCGGTGTTGGGGATCCTCAGGGATGGGGTGTCATTTTTTTTTATGGAAATGTTTGGCACGTGTCATTTTGGTTAATTCACTTTTACACAAATCAACCAAACATTTTTTTATACAATAAAAATAAAAATAATACTTTATTGAAATATTTTAA